GTTTCTGCTTCCAGGAACCTTTTCAGGAACCAGGTTAGTGCACTTTCTATTTTCTCTCCTTTGTACTGTAGGAACCGGGGCAGAAGCAGGTCCTGAAAATGGCCCTGCTGACGTTTTGTCTGCACTCTTAATTGACACTGTGGAGCTTTGTGGTGGAAAGGTCCTAAACATTTCTCACTAAATGAATATCCTCAGCATTTTATATCCTGGTTCAGACTCCTTTGCATGTCAGCAGGATTTCTGTATTTATAATTTATAAGAGGCGCATTTCAACTCATCCAGAAGGGCTAAACAGTACATTGTTTCAAAAAGTTTATATTGAATTATGTTGATAATATCTTGCAACATCAGAGGAATTTCTTTAAAGGAAGCATGAACTTTTCCTTTCCGAGGCTTTCTGGAGATAAAGAAAGACAAAACATTTTTATTACAGTTTTCTTTTAGATGTTTAACAAGAAAAAAATGGTTTTCAGTATTTATGTTTAAAGCAATCGTAATTTCACCAAGCAGTTTTAACACTGCATCAAGACATGTGAATTGTTATACGCTTCTTCTCAGTGGAAATTATTTTCATTTTGTTCCAGAGCTTAAAACCCCTATGAAATTGTCTGATGCCTGAAGAAAGTCAATTATAATCTTGATAGAAGCTCTGCTTCTTTCTTTTCTCTCTGAAAGTCGGATTCAGTGCAGTTCACTCAAAATCCACCCTGTCCTCACATTTAAACACAGTTTGGAGTGGCAGTCTATGAATTTTAACCCATAACTACTTTTCACTTTCTCGACATTATTGCTGTTCCGATCTTGTTTACATAGTTTCATTCAAATTGTGAACTCAGCTGTAAACAGAGACCAGTGTCCCCTGACATGAGTGGACTCCAGCAGGAGGAGGACTTACTCAGTATCAGGAGGGATGGGCTACATAATTGGCCCAATTTCAGACATCACGACAGAAACACGTACAAAAAACAGTCTGGACATTGTATATTAAAAGTTTATGAATCTTAAGTGCAAGAGGAAAAATGTTCAGGAGCCTGTTGTCAAAATTCACCTTAAATTCACCAAATCATAAATGTGGCTCCTTTAAGATTTGTTGTAAAATCCACATTTTTCTTAGATAATCTAGCATGTAAACATCCAAAACAATCTTAGTAACACTGTTATGATGCCATTTGGTAGAGAGATTTAGCAATGCACAGATATGTTGCTTGCCAAAAGTCATTACACACTTTCCTCAGAAGTCAGAACTGGGAATTACAATATTCCCACTGCATTTTGGAAAACCACTGCAGTTTGTTCTTTGTTGTGTAGATCAACAAGTATTAGCAAAGCAAACCAAAGATATAATACAGTAAGAAAAGAAAAGTCCACTCTTAGATGCTCTGCACTGAAGGAGGAAATGTTTCCTCATTTCGCTTCATCGACTTTGAGGAGTAAAAACTGTATAAATCTCAAGTAGCTTAAGAAACTTAATAGTAAAACTGTAAAACATAAAAGCTTTAAAAATTGTTATTGCATATGTGCTCAGTGAAGGATTTACTTAAAAACAGTATAATCTAAGGAGCTGTAAATCAAAATGTAATATTACTAAAAGATTATTTTTTACCGTTCATTACAATTTAATTCAAGTATTTGTACTGTTCATTTACATTTTAAGTATAGTTGTTATAAGTTCTGTAATTGTAACAATGGCCGTTAATAAATAAGGATATTGTATTGGCAACTACAAATCAACTTGTTTCTTCTTTGTTTTGGCATAATAATAATCATCTAAAGATCTCATTTCCATTGTGTGAAGGATTGTGAAGCTCCAGCAAACCACAATGAAAGGCCTGTTTTTCATGTGTAATCTAACAATAGTTGTCACAAATCTCTCCACCCATGAAGTCAGTTTGAAGGATGGGTGAAATGGAGGAAAGCTTATAATGAAGAATATCACTCAATCAGTCTGGACGCATTACATCACAAAACAGAATAAGCCAAAGATGCACTGTTTATGCTGACAAACTTCAAGTTATGGGGGAAATCAAGACTGTTTTTGAAGTAATTCAAGTTAAAGTTTTCTTTATGCTTCTGAGACATGTTTCTGTAAGTGGGCCACTGTGCTTGTGACATTCTTGGCTACTATTATCTTTAATTTAATTACCAAGAAACCCAGTTTTTCCTTTCAAACAACTTATAATTACGGCTTTGCATTTATGGTCTGACATAGCAGAATGCACACGCGTACAAGATGTGACTCAACTCATCAGAAAGCATGCGTGGTAAATTTAGACATCAGTTATCAGTATCAAAACATATTAAGATTTTTAAAAGTTACAGCTTAAAAACTGTACAAGTCATGCAGTTTAAATCATTTTTTAAACAAAGGTTAGAAAAAGTGATGGAGTAACATGTGTTTTGTTCCAGCTGTGGAGACCCACAATATTTCCCCTAGACAACCTGTTTCTGCACATTGTCAATCAGATAAAAGTTAGCTACATACTAAATACTATACTCAGCAAAATGTGCAAAAGTCCCACAGCAGATACCAATATGTAAAAAATTGTCAAAACAACAAAAGTGGGAAATAGAAATACTGTTTTTCAGTATTTTATGCATTCTTATATTAAAGAAACAACTTTCAGGTTATTGTTATTTGTCATGTTATTTTTGCAGCATTAGGTGTAAACGCTACTTTTCTGTTTGAAATAAAACCAATTCAATTAAATTTTATAAACTTTTGATTTCTTTTTTTTGTGTAGCTTGAAACTATAGCACTTTTATTCACGATTATTACCCAGTGAGAGTCTTATGCTGTCCAAGGCCTTGTCAGATCCTACAATCAATACACCATAACAATGGAACTGCACAGAGGAACCCTCTTTTGCTTTGCTGCCTTGCAGACAGATGGTCCCGGGTTTGATTCTTGATCTAAGTGTTTCTGCATGGAGATCGCATGTTCTCCATGATGATGCATGATGCTGATAACATTTCAGTTCTGTTAATATCGCTTCCAAGTAGAAACTTTGCAACTGGAATTGAGCACAAAGGGGATATTGCAATGACAGTATATTTTAATTCAGTATTTTGTATATGTTCATTAGAATGGCCCTATTCATATTATATTGGCTTGGTCAAAGTCCAGACATTTGAGAAGTAAATTCAAGTCTATTTATGAAGGCTTTAAAATGGACATTCACATTGTTCTTCAATCTGATCAGAATGAACTTGAATGAACATAGATATTCCTGTTTAGTCTATAGATACACAAATGGTAAACACAAGAAAGCCTGTAGCTGATATTGCAGCAAAAAGTGATTCTGCAGTGCAAGTGGCTCAGATTTCAATTTGAAATCTATGTAATAATAAATAAATACAATATAACTTTTCTTATACACTGAAAAAAATAAGTCATTGGATGAACATAAAAAAATTATGGAAAGGATTTCCACCTGATTACTTTGCTTTATTTCAGCACCATGTACTTGTGTTACTCCTATTTAAAGCAAATGTGTTAGGTCAACCTAATTTATTAAGATTATTCCAATGTAAAGCAAATGTGTTGGCTCCACTTGTTACAATGGTGATTCAATGGGTGATTCTAAATCAAACATGTTGGCTCAACGTAATATATTGTGGTTATTCTTATATAAATAAAATGAGTTGGCAAAACATAATTCATTAAGGTTGTTCTAATTTAAACCAAATATGTTGGCTTAACCAGAATTATGGTAATGCAATGGATGATTGTAAATCAAATGAGTTGGCTCAACTCCATTCATTAAGGTTATTCAAATTCAAATGAAATGTGTTGGCTCAACATATGTTTAAAGGTTCCTTTAACTCAGTTACTATAGTGTGACCCAGTGTAGTGCAATACAGCCCGCCCAACTAATCTGCAATGTTTAGGACCAAATCATTGATGTAACTTCATTAAGATGAATGTAAATCTAGTTGAAACCACCTTATTTTACAGTGGTACCTTCACACTACCTGATTCAGTAGGTCCAACTCACTAAAAGCAAGTTAGCTCAACAAATATGCTTCATGCTAAAAGACAGCTAGTTAATTGTGTGGAAATCCTTTCCATTATTTCATGACGTTAATTCAAAGACATATTTTCAAGCGTTAATCAAGCATTTTAAGATAGCACTAGGTGAAAGTGTAGGAAGAACACTCAACAATTAGAAAAGGTACAACACAATTGTATTTTCAGAATTGTTATACATCGTTTTTTTACACAGCACAAAACACAGCTGAGTTGGACATTGAAATAAAAAAACAACTACAAAAAGGTTACAGTTTCATTTCCCAGCCAATTCTTTACAACATAAAACATGTCAGTATAGTTGCTCAACTTAGAGAACTGTAACAATATAAATCTTTTCTACTGCAGACTTTAAACACTCATTTTCCATGTGAAACTTTACTCAACTTAGCAGCGAGTTTCATATTGAGAACTTGTGCTTTCTTTGATAAGTTCTTTCCATCCAATTTCATTATTATTTTCTGTATTACTTCAAAGGTATGCTTGAGTTACTGAGCAAGTTGAGTGCTGAACGCACTAAACTTGAGGGTAGCTCAAGTTTAGTGCGTAGATTAGTCCCAGCAGCATCACTATTGCAGAAGATACACTGCCCAAGCTGTTCATAACTTCCACCTCCTCCAGGACAATCCCAACATCCAGATGTGCATCGGCAGCCTCTGCACCCTCTGCTCAAATGACGATTCCGAGGAATCGTCATTTGAGCACGTACTTACGCAGGTGGATTACAGACAGGTGATCAGGTGATGTTCTGGCCATTTCATTCATCAACGTCCTAAGGGAGTTAGGGAAGGGTATTGGGGGGGAGACAATTCACATGTAATTAAATAAATAAATTAGACTGACATTGATTGAGTCACTCATGGACCTTAGTTGGTGAAAGTATTTTAACAACTCAGGAGTTCTATTGTAAACACAAAGAGAATTTACATACCATGTACTCCCTCACCAGCTTCTCTGGATCTTCATTTAGGTACACAGACCTTTGAGGATGCACTCTCGTCTGACCTCAGCAGTGTCTTCCTAAATATGCAGATCAAAAAACAAAGAGAACAATCTCAAAACTCCAGCAGTATAGGTTCACACACTTGAAAACATAGCTGCATTCAAAGGAAGTCACAACAAAAGTGATCAGTGACTTGCAGTCTGTTTGAAAGATATTTAAAATTGTTAGTATCCCTTCATTATGCCATGACTAAAATTGAGTATAACATCTCATTTAAACATCTAACTGAAGCTGTTAGATGTTTAAATAAAGACATGAATATATCACCAAAGAAATATGTGAAAAGTACAGAATGGTCAACACAGTCTATATCCTTCTACTTAAATGAATATGCAAAGCATTCCATGTCTTACAAGTACATGGACAGTCTATGTGTGGGCATGGATAACGTCGCATATGCCGGTGTTTAAGTGTAAAATGTTTTAACAGGTCATATCTACGAGACAGAAAGAGACTACACTCCTTACATTTCCACATCCCCACGCAAATAAAGACAAATAAAACAGACTGGCCAAATAAATGTTTAGCTGAACCCTAGCTTTATAAGCTCTCTAACACTACATTCAGTCACTTTAGATCTGGCAAAACTTACTATTAGCCACTGAAATCTATAACTTGATAGCCGATGAGCCCCTTGACCAGTACTTACGCAGGTGGATTACAGACAGGTGATCAGGTGATGTTCTGAAAGAGATCAGATATATTTTCAGCCATTAAAATATGCAATTCATACTGAACTGAGTTGTATCTTTTAGTACAAGTCCCTTGAATGCCTCATGAATAAAACCACAGGACACATGCAAGCACATATGTGCAGAACAATGGTGAATTGAACATGATAGAAAGCAATAGTAACATAGGTCAAAATGAGCACAATCAACACAAAAAACATCAACATTTCAAAATTAAACCAATGAACTTCAATATTGTTTCTGAGCTACAATTATTTGGGGACAACAAAGAAGAGTCCAAAAAACCCCAACATCTTTACAGCAGAGGAATATGTATTTTAAAGAAAAAAAATAGAAAGCTCAAGTCTGTAATAATGGATAATCCATTGAGAGTTTTAGCCTGACAAAATATACTAGAAATCCATAACTAACAGGTATTTAAGGAACATTTAACAAAGCTCAGAAAGCAATGCTTTCTGCAGGTTTCACCGACTGAAATGTAGGACTTTTTATTACCATAATTAATTAAGAATCTCGATGATGATAGAAAGGTACCAAAGTGTGTGTGTATCTACATTTACCTCCATAGTAACATTACTGAAATAGAATTAAAATAGTTAGAAATAGACTGATGTTAGATCAGTGTGTTAAAAATCCACTAAACCTCCAGGGAGCTCAGGAGGAGCAAAACTGTGACATTTCTGGGGTCCATTTGTGTCTCTGGCAGCAGCTTTGTACACTACATATGGCTCTGCAGACTTTTTTCGCACAGAATGTACCTAACATGGTGCGGCGATAAATGTAAACAAAAAGCTATCTGCCTTAACCTAACCGACTTAATCTACAGAACATGAAATAATGTGACACAAGTATGGAACAAGTAGAAAATGGTGCAAATGGTAGAGAAATTTTAAGTTACATATTTTTATATGGATTTAGATGAAAATAGTTTGACTCTTACCTTCTTCAAATTAAGTAGATGCACGCCAGGAATCTCCCCTCTGCCCTTGAAAAAACCCAACAAGGTGCAAGCCAGTTATCTCGCGTGATTTTCCGTAATCTCTTGATGTCGCTGGATCCTCTTCAGCGGGAGATGAGTCTGACACAATAGCGCTTTGGAACTGACGTCACTGTGTTTTTTTTTTATTAGATTAACTTTGACAAATATTGATATTGAATAAAAAAAAACCAAACACACACACACACACACACACACACACACACACACACATATATATATATATATATATATATATATATATATATATATATATATATATATATATATATATATATATATATATATAAAATACTGCGCAGGACCCTCAGATGAATTAGATGTATTCAAGTTGAGATAACGTCATTCAATCACGTTAGTTCAGTTGAGAGAAAAAACCGATTGTCTCGCGTGTTCTCGCGTGATATCCCGTGATCTCACTCGTTGTCGTCAGCACAATATCAGTCTAAATATAATGAATCATGTTAGCTCAACATGATTCAATTTTATAAATGTGAAGTCGTGGAATATCTTGTTTATCCAACATGATTTTATCACGTTTTCGTTTCAAACCCAACATTATTGTGTGAAAGGTACATGATATTTTTTTGTTAATGTAATACGCCCCGACGTTCTTTTTTTTTTTGGCGGAAGATCTAGCTGACGTAATTGAATCACGTTATCTCACCTTGAATACATTTTATTCCATTTGCGAGAAAAAACCGATTGTCTCGCGTATTCTCGCGTGATATCCCGTGATTCCCCGTAATCTTGCGTGAACTTGCGTGCTATCCCGTGATCTCACTCATGGTCTTCAGCATAGGATCGGTCTGACTATAATGAATCATGTTCGCTCAACATGATTCAATTTTATAAACGTTGAAGTTGTGGAATATCTTATTTATGCAACATGATTGTATCATGTTTTTGGCTCAAACATGCAATTATTTAGTTAACAGTACATGATATTCTTTTGTTAATGTGATAACCCCTGAGGTTCCTTTTTTACAGTGTATATATATATTTTTTTTGCACTGCATGGTGTTGAATCCCAATAATTAAGGCCGTTGCAACTGTGACAGACAAACGCTGCGCTGTTTCTTTAAATTGGGAAAAGAGCCCATCTTTGCCCGTGTGCACCTCTGCTGTCAATGGCGGCCCATTCTTACTGATGCTCTGTGTACAGAGAACATCCTCTCATCCCCTCTCTGCTCCCCACAGGTCTACAGAATGTGTACCAACATGACATGCAAAACCACGGAGGATGGCGTTACATTGGCTGTCACAGCCGGGGTTATCAGATGATTACCACTTTCATTGAAAACAGCAGAAAGCGCCTTTTAGATTCAACGCTTCCTGGTGATGTCAATAAAGGCGAAGCAGCCTTATTTATGGCAGATCAATAGGCAGCAGACGAGCGCCTTTCTGTTTTTACAGCGCTGACAACATACGCGCAGGCTGCCACGGTAGACAATAACAAGAGCCGCCGTGACCTACAAAAGAAATTCTCTCATGGATCATTGGACAAAAAGAGAGGCCAGACAACAAACCGCCGGACGTGGACAGACGCGCCGACGGATTGACAGGCCGGGCGGCTGCCCGGGTTACACAGAGGAAGAGGAGGAGGAGGAAGAGGAGGAAGACGGGATGTGTTGCGCTTACTTTCTCCGCGGAGCCCGGGCTGAGCCGCTCCAGCAGCTTGCAGAGAACCACCCCATCCTTCAGAGAGCTCTGCAGGAAGGCTTCGGGATCCGAGATGGTCTTCTTCGGCGACTCCAGCACCCCGAGCGTGATCAACCACGTAACCGTCTGTTCCGCCGAATTCATGTCCGGAGACTGTAGCTGCGGATCCTTCTCAACAAAGAGGCTGCAGTGGGGCGTTTGACGGCTCACCGCCCTGGTTATGCTGTCATCTGTGCGTTAGAATATTATCAACATCATTATTCCTTTCAAAAAGAGAAAAAAGATGCAGTAGGTAAGGGGGGCCTAGGTGAAAGGAAGGCAAAGAGAAACCCTCTATATCTAGACTGGATGCGGCTGATGACGGCTGCTCGTTGGAAATTTAGCTGGTCTTGTCCTCTCTCCCTGAATGCTCCGTTTTCTAGCCCGACTAACCTGGAAAAGCTGTCAGCTGCGGCTCGCCGTGATGCGCCGAGGCAGCCGACCGCATACATATGCGCAACGCAGCCGCTCGTCTATTGGACGAGCAGAGAGAGGACGAGCCAGTCCAACCAGTTGTCGGAGCGCTTCGGCTGCCCGTGAATAGGCGGCTTTTGCGTGTCCATGCTCTTTTTTGTCCGTTTATTGCAGACACGCCGCAGGCTGTGGGTCGTTATGTGCTCTAAGCGCTGTTTTGCTGCCCAGACATCAGTCCGAAAGTGGGGCGCTGCAAAAACACGACGTCTTAACAAATGCTTCTAATGCAAACATCTTATTATACTCCAAATGAGACAAAACTAACTTACAAACAACTTGTCAACCAGAGCTTGTTTTAAGTAAATAAAATTCCTATATGGAATGTCTATGTTAGACATTATAATTGGAAGACGTTGTTTGACTGACGAGACTGAAGTGGAAGCTTCTAGGAGCACTGGAGCAATTTATATGCACGACAAAAACACAAACATGTCACTTCCTTCATCATATCCCATCCGTTTAAAATGAAAAGCCATCGCAGATGTTTGCACTAATTCTTTTGGAACAAATTTTAAAAAAACAATTTCAAATACAGAGGTTGTCAGAGCATCAGATGGATGAAACAGGTTTTTATTGAAATTAAATATAGATCACCGCAAGCTCTATTTTTTTTTTCAAGCAGTCTGTTATCAAATGCTCTATTTGATAACACAAGTAATTATCTGTTGTTTCACTGGTTTCTTTATTAAGGACTGTTGAAAGACAAGATATGAGAGCAACAATGAGCGTCTCCATTAATGAACAGCACCGGATTCTCTTGCTCCAAAACAAATAGCATGGCACAAACAAATTATTCCACCTTAGCTGATTTCTAGCACACAAACAATTATGGCTAATCGCTTAAGTGCTTCTGGCTTACTCAAACTAACAAATATTTGATTTGTTTCAAATATGTCCCTCTCAGGCTCAAATTACTTGCAAAGACTAGCTAAGTAGCACTGAGCTGTTGCAAATCTGCAACATCTGCCTGGAGAGGGTTAAAAACAGGCGATCGGATGTCAGATTTTGATTAAACATTGGAGATAAAGTAAAACATTCCAGATACAATAAACATAGCAATAATGGCAACTTAACCTTATATAACCTTAAACATCAAGGGCAATGTTAAGCACTGGAGATAAAAAAATAAAATAAAAATAAAATGAAATAAAATTGGGGACGCCATTAATCATCCTGGACAACTTCAAGCATTGGAGATAACATTGTCCACTATGTTTAATGTTGTCTCTTTTTCTGTCATCTCAAAACAATCTTCATGTCAAAACTCCACATTCAAAGACAAACTCACAAAATTTTCACATTTTATTAGGTTTTATTTGAACAGATTGTGAGAACACCCCTGTAAAGAAATGAAAATGATCACGTAATTCCCAGGAATGGAAGGAAACAAGGATGGACGGATAAGGGATAAAGGGAAGTAAGTAAGTATAGGATGGATGGATGGATGGATGGATGGAGGGACGGACGGACGGACGGACGGACGGACGGACGGACGGACGGATGGATGGATGGATGGACGGACGGACGGACGGATGCATGAAAGGAAGGAAAGGAACCAGATTGGATGGATGAAGGGAACCAGGCTTGGATGGAGTTCATCTGAATCTGAAATCTGCTGTTCATCAGGACGGTATAGTTAAATCCTCATTTTCTTCTGTCAGCTCTGCCCTGCAGGAGAAGCTCGCTGCGTCTCCTCTCTTCCAGTGTCCATCGACTGCAGTTTATTTCACAATTGTGTGATTTGTGTGTCAGAAAGCGATTCATCTGCCCTCCTAAGATTTGTAAAGTGCTTCTTCTCACATTGGCCACTGATGAGACGCAACATCTCAGACTCAGCAGGTGAGGCCGTTTTCAGGCTGTTTGATCTCATATCTCCCCCACCAATGGCACCTCCGTCTCAGCAAGTCATAGCTTTTTTGGGTTTAAAAAATGTCAAGCTACAGGAAGTCTGAGGTGCAGGATCAGGTATCAAAACTCAGAAATAACAGCATGTGAAGCCAATGTGCAACTGATGGGACAGCACAATTGGTTCACAACTCCTCCTGGTTGAGAATTCAATGTCTCAACCATAAACCTTTAGCTTAATCTGTCTTTACTATCGGTGGTGTAGAAAAATCCCTATTTAAAAACAACAACCCATAGTCTGGTGGGGGGAAAATAAGTCCTGGTGGCCCGCCAGGCTGATAAAACACTGGGAGAAACTGACTTCTGTCAGCGGGAACCCTGTCTATATCACCATGTCTAAACAGGTTTATATTTCAAAGTGATCTTTGGGCAGCTCTTCCTTACTTACTTACTTCCCTTTATCCTGGTTTTCTAATCCGTCCGTCCTGGTTTGATGTTTCAACATAAAGATTGCTTATTATTTAAGTGTCCCATTAATTTATTAAAACTCCTCACTTTCCATTGATCTGTGTCTTTTGATCCGTCTTTAAATGATATGTTTTTTCATAAATTGCTTATTTAAAAACATACAATAAAGTTTTGTAAAATAAATTTTTCTTTATCTTTGATGTTGGTTTTTTTTGCAAATATAAGTCAACAGATCTTAATTAAATGTTCAGCTTGGACTTCTTGTCATTATGATGTTTCTGAATTAAATACATTTTTCTTACTGGTCAGAATCCAGATCCTTGCCAACTTCAACTGTGATCCCTCCAGAAACAGAGACGCTCAGCCTTCAGCGAAACCACCAGTCAGAACCACTTTTCTGTCGAAAAATCTAGTTTCAACCATATTTGTTATCTTTCGAGTCCCTTACTTAACTATGAACCATTTACTTAAAAAAAAAACGTCATAAAATTACAAAATAAAAACATAATTTTCCTCAACTTTTCAATTTTCTCTAATGTGTGTGTGTGTGTGTTTTTTTTAAAATCAACTTAAAATAGCAATGAAGTTGTTGTATATTAAGACAACAGTTCAGCTGTCGGCTGTTATCCT